CTTTAAATGGGAATCTGTTAGCAAAGGGAGAAAGATTCAACTAGCCTGGACGGTCTTACCCCAGGGATATAAAAATAGTCCCACATTATTTGGAAACCAATAAGCCAAAGAGTTGGAAAAATGGGAACGGCCTCAGGGAGATGGCCTTCTTCTGTGATATGTAGGTAACTTTCTAATAGCAACTGAAACAGAAGAGGAATGTGTACAATGGACAATATCTCTATTAAACTTCCTGCTTCTAAACAGATATTGAGTTTCCCAACAGGAAGCACAGCTGGTGCAAGAAGATGGTGTACTTAGGATATGAGATCTACAGAGGACAACCATCTCTAAGAACAACAAGGAAAGGAGCCATCTGCCAGATGCCCAAACCAGACATGGTGAGGGACCTTTGAGCCTTTCTGGGAATGACAGATTGGTGTCGCTTGTGGATATACCAATATGGAATACTTGCAAAACCTTTATATGATTTATTGAAAGCAACCAAAAATGTCATAATCTGGAGTCTTGAGGCAGACAAAGCCTTTGAAAGGCTGAAACAAGAACTCATGAAGGCCCCAGCATTAGGCTAACATGATGTAACAAAACCATTTTGGCTGTTCTCCCATGAACGGCAGGGAATGGCCCTAGGAGTCTTGGCTCAGCAATTGGGACCATATAAAAGAGCTGTAGCTTACTTCTCCAAATAGCTGAAGTGAGCAAGGGATGGCCCATCTGCCTGAAAGCAGTAGCTGCAGTAATTATGAACATAGAAGAAACCAGAAAGCTTATGATGGGACAGAAAATGACTGTGCTAGTGTCCCACACTGTATCAGCAGTACTGGAGCAGAAAGGTGGCCATTGACTGTCACCTTCCCGATTCCTGAAATACCAGGCGATCCTGGCTGAATCAAATGATGTAACCATTCAAGTGACTAATGTCAACCCAGCTTCATTCCTAGAAGGGAGAATATCAACAGAACCAATTGAGCATGACTGTCTAGAGACCACTGAAGCAGTGTACTCCAGCCACCCAGACCTCAAAGAAGAACCATACCTGGATGTAGACAACTGGTTCTCAGATGGCAGCAGTTTCATGAGACAAGGGATAAGAATGGTTGGTTGTGCGGTAACCACAACAGAACAGGAAATTGAATCAAACCCTTTACCTGCAGGAACTTCAGCACAAAAAGTGGAACTGATAGCTCTTACTCGAGCCCTTGAATTAGTAAAAGGAAAACAAATAAATATATGGACAGATTCTAAATATGCCTTTTCCATTGTACATGCCCATGGAGCAATCTGGAAGGAAAGGGGACTATTGACTGCCCAAGGAAAATCTGTAAAACATGCAGAAGAAATTCTACAGTTGCTAAAAGCTGTCCAACTCCCAGCACAAGTGGCCATAATGCATGGCAGGGGCCACCTGAAGGGTAACACCGTCCCAGAAATAGGTAATAGAAAAGCTGATGCAGAGGCTAAATTAGGTGCTACAAGGACCAAAGAATCAACCATAGCAGGTCTAGTGCCAGAAGAACTAGATACTAATTTTCAGCCAGAATATCAAGAATCAGACCATAAATGTATACGAAAAGATGGAAGTAAGATGTTAGACAATGGGTGGGGTCAGTTAGAAACAGGACAATTAATATTGCCAGGGAAATTAGTATGGCAATTTGTAAAACCGGAGCATGACAAGACCCACTGGGGTCTAGACCCCCTTTATCAACATCTAAAGGCCAGAATAGCGGGGCCAAAACTATTCACAGTAGTAAGACAAGTCACATCCCAATGTGAGTGTTGCCTGAAAAATAATCCAAATACTGGAACCAAAATTCACATAGGGACAATAAACAAAAGGAAATTCCAAGGGGAAGTGTGGCAAATTGATTTCTCTGAACTTCCAAGAAAAGGGGGGTACAAATACCTTAGTTTTGACAGACACATTTTCTGGGTGACCTGAAGCGTTCCCATGCAGAACAAACAAAGAAAGGCAAGTAATCAAAGTCCTGTTAAACGAAATCATACCAAGATTTAGAGTACCTAAAAGAATCTCCTCAGACAGAGGTTCACATTTTGTGCTAAAGTTGTAAGAGTAATAAGCAAAGCATTGCAAATCAAATGGCAGTTACACATGCCTTATAGACCCCAAGCTAGTGGGCAAGTAGAAAAAATGAACCATCTTATCAAACAACAGATTGCCAGAATATGACAGGAGACTAATTTACAATGGTATCAAGCTTTACCTATTGCTCTAATCAAGAGTTAAACCTCGATTGAAAAAAAAACAAAAACTGAGTCCATTTGAAATCTTGTATGGTAGGCCTTATGCAATGCAGATTGTAAATAGCGAAGCTGTAGATCAAATAGGCAATCAGTATGTATATGATTATGTTACAGCTATAGGCAAACATTTTGATAAAAATGCTACAGTGGTAATGGACCTCCAACCCAAACAGCCTAACTGTAAATTGCATCCGTTTAATCCTGATGACTGGGTGTATGTTAAGAATCTTTTAGGGATCCCTCTGCAAGAAAAGTAGGAAAGACCTTTCCAAATGCTGCAGACCACCTTCACTGCAATCTGGATAAAAGAACAACCCATCTGGATTCACTACTCCCGAGTCAAGAAAGCCCCAGAGAATAGCCAAGAGGACTCCTGAGGAAACCCGATACCATGGGTTGGCGACCCCCCAATGCTGATTCTTGGACTCTTGATAAGTATAACCTTATCCCAAAACCCCGTTCTAGAATAGCCATGGTCTAATGCACATATTGTTGAGTCACTTTTCGACAATAAGCCAATTCTAGTCATTTATGTTTTGCATAACAACCAGTCTTATATGCAACAGGACTGGAATAAAGTCCAGGAGACAGACACCATAATAAGAGAAAAAGGAGATGAAATTCAGGTAGGATACAAAGATATTAATACATTGATGTAGGAGACAGAACAAATCAAATTAACAGTAATGTTGTTCCTGCAACTACTAAACAGTTAATTGAAGCTGATTACACCCTGTATCATGATGTACCTAAATTACAAATAGGCATGAATACTAGTCTACTTAAAGCAATGCTTAGGCACCCTGACATGGAGAGACTAGTTCAAAAGGTGAACCAAACAGCCCAGCACATGCTTTGGCAAGTGAAGTATGACTCCGAAAGTCATAAAATCTATTTTAACCGACATAGAACATGAAGGAAAACACCATTGGTGGAACATTTTTACAGGGTACTCCCCTACAGCAACACGAGTGTTTCACTATCTAATGCATCCAATATTAATCTTAACAGGAACCCTAATTCTGCTCTCCATCCTTGATGTCTGGTTGTGGTTCGGATGGAGCACCATAGTCAAGAGGACGCAAATAATTTAGGCAATGATACACGCATATCAATGCCCTCGATCTATGGAACCTGACGAAGGAATTCTTAAGTTCTAAGAAAAGGGGGTAAATGAAACAGAGCAGGGTCCTGAAGGAGTTAACTCAGAATGCAAGCTCTGAGTAAAGAACTAAAGGAACCAGAATTCAAGGACTAGTGGAAGATAACATCTCGCCAAAGAATGCTAGCACACTAACATAAAGAACATAAAGTCAAAAGACAAGGAAATAAAGAACATTAAAATACTAACATATATATCTAAATAGATATAAGGAAGGGTTCCTTAGGAGATAAGGGGCGAAATAGGGACATGAGTCCAAGACCTTGCAAAATTCACTACTAGGAAGCTAGCCAACCACTAGGAAGCTAGCCAAACAGAGAAAGTTGAAGAGTTCACTGAGGAAGACTCAAAAATACGACCCCCTTTGAGGTTGAAGACACCATAACGACCACCAGAACAACACCCCAAAAGAGGGCTCCACCCCAGACTCCTCCCAGACTCCGCCTATTATGAATATTATGATTAGATGTTGCAATTGTATGAATATTCATGTAAAGATGTTGAAATCTCTCACCAAAACTGTATAAATACCTGACTTTACACTGATAACTTTGGGCTAGTTTTGTCCAGCGCCAGTTGGCTAGCCCCCAACATTGCTTAAAATGAATACTTTTGCTGCTAAAGACTCAAAACTGTCTCTAAGCAGTTTTCATTGCTCCTTTTGCGGCATCAAACAGCTCGCATACGAAAATGCAAATAATGACTGTAGACGAGCTTTGCAATCCCTATCTAAAAGAGAACGTTGCACGATTGCTGAAATGGTGCGAGCTTCCCAGAATGTGGGATCTATTGATCACCACACTTTCTCTAGCAACGGCATTAGCCACCCAGCTAAAGGTAGATAATGGAGAAAAGGAAAAAGGTGGTTGTTATCGATGTGGAGCAACTAATCATCTTGTTAAGAATTGCCCTAAAAAGCTCCCCTTGACAGAGTGCTACAAATGCTGTAAGGGAAAGCAATGGGCTTGTAACTGTAGGTCATGAGCTGACTACAGGAAAAGTCCTGCATTCTTGGGAAACTGCAGGTGGGGCGGGAGGCTGCGTGCCCCCTGCAATCAAATAAATTTGGCCCCAAGCGATTGGCTTGCTATTTACTTGCAGCCACCGCAAGAAGCACTGGCCGGACTTGGCCTCCAGAAAGCCAGTAACTATAACATCCAGGGACGTAGTGTTAATACCAACTGGGGTGTAGGGACCCCTCGGCCCAAGGGTGCACGGCCTCCTAATCAGCCGTTCCTCAACCAGGAGGATGGGTTTGTTTGTTTTACCCAGAGTAATTGATTCAGATTCTCTGTGCGAGATCCAAATCATGGCATGGACACCAGTACCGCCCCGCTACATACCTGAAGGGCAAGTGCACAAGATACTTCACAAGATACTTTACAAGGTACTTCAGCTCACCATTTAAACTATTTAGGTAATAACTCTTTGCACCTAACTTAGGTCACTACTCAGAATCCCTATCCCCATATAAAGAAAAAAAGTATATTTCTTACAACCAGTTGTAATTTATAGCTACTGTATTGCCTGGAGCATAACACAAAAGAAAGTGTGACCATTTTCCTCCACTTACCTTTCTTGTCAATAGACTTTTCCGCCTCATTCCACAAGCCTCTAACTGAAGACGCCCCCGCAATGCCAATTCAATTAACATACAGCCACGCAATCCTGAGGATATGCAGTCATTCCAAAATGATGTGTAACCCTGTGAAGAATGAAAGGCAGTAAGATATTTCCATCTGAAAGTAAATAGAAAAAGAGGTTTACTGCATTCTCTAAGCAGTTCTCTGGCTCTCATACACTTCTGAAGTAGCATCACTAGCCAACTACCAATAACTGTATCAAAAACATGAAAGAGAGAACAGACTCATCCCCTATTGGTTTTGACAATCTCTGCCCTTTGAAGAGCAGGGAAACTTCAGGAAAGATACAAAATAAACCAGCTAGATATCAAGAACTCTGAGATATAAAGTGTAGTTTATATGTAGTCAAAAGACCTCCATGGGCTGCAGGGGGACAGCTGGTCTTCACCACAGGCGGCAGGGGAATCTGCTCCAGCACCTGGAGCACCCCTTCCTTCACTAACCTTGGTGTCTGCAGTTGTTTCTCTCACATATTCTCACTCCTCTCTGGTTGCAATTGCTCTCATGCAGTTTTTCCCTCTTCTTAAATATGCTATCTCAGTGGTGCTACCACCATCACTGATTGGCTTGACCTTGACCAGTGGCAGGTCCATCTTGGATTTGGCTGGCATTGACTCTGTTGGACATGGAGTAAGCTTTTGGCAGCTTCTCAGAGTCACTCCTGTAGCCCCCCACTACCAAAACCTTGCCACACAAACCCAATACCCAATGCAAAACTGCAAGTTACATTTATTCTATGAACCACACTTTTTAAACTATATTTCTACCTCAACGGCTGTCTATTTAAATGGTAGAACAGAATATTTGACATTTACTCAAAATCTAGAAATACATGTATTGACTTTGGTACTCCATTGACCAATGATTACAACACATCCCCTCCAACCCAAATCTTACACAAAAGATTTTATTTTATGTCGTAGATAGTTAGGACAGCCATAAAATAAAAAACAGGTACCTTATATGATGATAGTCCGACAGTCAGCTTTTATTGCTTCATCCAGTGTAATAACTTCTTGTTCTCACACATACTGCACTCACACACACTGTTAACAGAACTTTTCATGTCTTTCTATTATTAGCTTTCTATCTATAATTTATTTACTAGCCTTCACACATAATTGGATATTCTCTTCTTATTTACATTCTTCTCTCACTGGTCAGTTCTGGCACCTTTTCAAGTCTTTCACAGCCCCTGGTTTTCCTCAGGGAAATAGTTTCAAAGTGTCTAAGTCAAAATCCTTCACCTCTATATCCTTCATCAGGGATCAGGTGGAACCACCGCCTACCCCAACAATTTTAATTACAGAGTAGTCAGCAGTTAAATATAAAAAAACAGTAATATAAAAGAACAGTATTTAAGACAAAACAAAATATTTATGAGAAATTATTTGTCTTTTGAGAAATGACTGTGAAAACACTTGTTACAATCCTGAAAGACTTGAATTTCTGTGACCCTTATGGACTTGCTTAGACCTGCTCACACAAATGATGCAGACAAGATAGCAAAGTATGTACACTATAAATGGTGAGCGGCCATCTCATTCTTGTCTCTGATTCAAGAGGGGGAGAAAAGCCACATGATTATATTAGCATACTTAAATTAAACAAGGAAACACACATTTTAAGCAAGTAAGCCTTACAGATACCCTGGATCTAGTTTTGCTGAATTCTTGCAGTTTCTTCCTATTTACTGTAGGAATCCCCCAGCTCAGACTGCATACAAAACAGTGTAACAATATGTCATAGTTTTGTTGGTTCTTAGAAACTAAGTAGGAATTTTTCCCTTCCCCCTGAGTACTGTGTGAAGGGGATGTTGAACGGGCAGATTGACTGTGGCTTAGGCAATTGAGTAACACAAAAGAAGTGACTGATGGAACCACATTCCAAGTTGATGTCACTCAGGGTCTTGTCCTTGGGGAGGGATAAGGAGTTCTTTTTTTACTTTTTTTCCTCTCGTCTCCTGGAGGGGGAGGAGTTCAGGTTGCTGCCGGAGCTGGAACAAGGTCAGAGTGGCAGCTCAGAGGTGGCTTTGTTCTCAGTCTGGCTGCCAGCTGTGAATTCTGCTTGGATTTTTCATTGTAGAGGAACTGTTTAGGGAGGTTTTTTCCCCTCCTCCATTCCATTTTTCTTTCTTGGCAACGGTTCTTGTGCACATTGGGAGGATTCAGCCAGCAGGACTGGGTTCCCCTTGGGAAGGACCTTTTTTTTCTTTTTTTTCCTCTCCCTCATATCTCCTTTCCCAGTGGGGGGGAGGGAGGACCTCCATTTTAGGTTTCTCGAAACTGAGGGGGGGGTCCCCCTGCGTGGTGACCACCAGTGATCCAACAGTGCCCCCTGTTGACTGTGGTTAGAATTGCACCAAACCTTTTTTGTTTGTTTATTTGTTTGTTTTGAAGGGGATTATTTGCGGGTATAGGAGTATTGTTTGGTTGTTTTACTTGTTTTCTTTTGTTGTTTCTGCCAATACACATATATCTTTTAACAAAGGGTTGTTATTCTTCCTTTTGCCAAACTTTTTTCCTCAATTGGAGCCTCTTAATTTCAGATTTACAATTGCTTAGAGGGAGGAGTTTGGGTCTTCCTCATAACTCATCCTCAGAAAAACACTTGTGTCTCATTTAAACTGAGACACCATATACTAGGACACAGCCTCCTATAGATGCTGGCATACAGAGTGCAACAGGAGACAGGGTTCATACACATAGCCCACATGGAAGGAAGGAAAGACACCCTGAATGGAAATGCTCTATCAATGTCCCTTAAAACTTTAATTTACATTATTCCCACTATAACTCAATAAGTATGCAAACAATCGGAACAAGAAGATTCCAACATGAACAGACTGCCTGAAGGTATTTGGTAGAGATCAATGCAAAGTGTGTTAGCAATTTCTACACAATCAATGTTTCTTTAGGAACTTGAACAAAAGTTCAAAATCATTTCACTTAACCACAAAACAGACAACCTTCGTGAAGCAATCATTCAGTTACCTTTACACTGTTCTACTCAGCTTCCAGGCAGTTGTCAAGCTAGTTCTATCGAAAAAAAATTCAGTATTTTCACTATTCCAAGTGCAAATTAAAGCCACTCAACAGTAGCAGTGAAAACATTACAATTAAATAGCAGATGCCATTTCACATGTACATTTCACAAAGTTACTTTAATGCATTCCAAAGTGGTCAAAAAAATACTTCCTTCTTAAAAATGAAAACAAAATACTTATATGAGACCATGTAAGGTTTTGTTTCAGAATAGTTTCATTGTTTTACCCATGAGTTACTAAAAATCTCTTCCCACTATGGAAATACACATTTTCTCTCTAATTCTCAGTTAACTTCTAATAAAAGTACAGAATATGCTGAGTTGGAAGGGACTCACAAGGATCATCGAGTCCAACCCTTAGCCCTGGAAAGGACCATCCCCAGGAGTCCCACCATGTGCCTGAGAGTATCATCCAAATGCTTCTTGAACCCTGTCGAGCTTGGTGCTGTGACCGTTTCCTTGAGGAGCCTGATCCAGTGCTCAACCACCTTCTGGGTGAAGAACCTCTTTCTAATATCCAACCTAAACCTCCCCGGACACAGCTTCAGGCTATTCCCTCAGATCCTGTCACTGGTCACCACAGAGATCAGTGCCTGGCCCTCCTCTTCCCCTCACAAGGAAGTTGTAGACTGCAATGAGGTTTCCCCTCAGTCTCCTCCAGGCTGAACAGACCAAGTGACCTCAGCTGCTCCTCATACATTTTCCCCTCAAAGCCCTTCACTATCTTTGTTGCCCTCCTGTGGATAGCTTAATATCTTTCTTATATTGCAGTGACCAAAACTGCACACAAGTAGAGCAGGACAATCACCTCCTTTGACCGGTTGGTGATGCTTTGCCCAATGCACCCCAGGACACAGTTGGCCCTCCTGGCTTCCAGGGCATTGTTGACTCATATTCAACTTGCCATCAACCAGGACACCAAGGTACTTTTCCACAGCACTGCTTTACAGTATCTCATTCACCAGTCTGTCCATACATCCAGGGTTACCCCATCCCAGGTGCAGAATCCAGTACTTGCTCTCATCGAACTTCATATGGTTGGTGATTGCTCAGTCCTCTAATTTGTCCAGTGGGGGAGAATGAACAGATGTTCAGCAAAGAAAGCCAGAAATAACTGCCCAGCAAGAGGCCTCAGAGATAACAATGGAATCCATCAGATGGCCTTGGACACTGAATGAGAGGGAAAGAAGAAACTGCTAACTTCAGAGGAAGGAGACCATGCTGTGAACACTTGAGACCAGAAGTAGAATTAAGGAAAAAGGACTGCTTATAGTAGTTCTATATATGGATTATATATTGATTGATAATTGCTAATAATAGTATTTTGTTAGTATGTAGAAAGTTTGAATAGTGTGGATAAGTTTGAAAAATGCATAGTCATGTGACAAATAGTTCCATGCATGCCATCTACCCTGTAGTCTATAAATTCCTACTCAAAGTGTGATAAAAATGCCTTAATGCAAACATTACATTCCATTCCCCTTCATTCTGCTGGATGAAGAGGACCAAAGAAGAAAAACCTCTCTTAGGGATGCAGTTCGACTGATTTTAATAATAATAACAGATCACAGAAAAAGTAAAACTGTGTCTGAATAGTCTTTTAGGCATTGGCAGTCCAGGTCTCTCTGCAAGGCCTCCCTGCCTTTGAGGGAGTCAACAGCTCCTCCGAGTTTAGTGTCATCTGCAAACTTGCTTAGTATCCCTTCCAGTCCTATGTCCAAGTCATTTATGAAGATGTTGAAGAACACAGAGCCCAAGATGGAGCCCTGTGGAACCCCACTAGTGACAGGTCGCCAGTCTGGTGTTACCCCATTCACTATTACCCTCTGAGTTCGAACTGTGAGTCAATTGCTCACCCACCACATGATGTGTTTACCCAGCAGTGTGCTGGACATTTTGTCCAGAAGGATCCTGTGAGAGACAGTATCAAAAGCTTTACTGAAATCCAAAAAGATTGCATCAACTGGCTTCCCTTGATCAACTAGGTGGGTTACCTTGTCATAGAAAGAAACCAGGT